TGTCTGACATTTCCCATTTACGACAACAGTAAAAATCTACTGTGCAGCTATTTTGCTCATTAACAACATATGGCTGGCTATAACAGATACCAAGGTACAAAGTGAGAGGAACGCTGGCTTTGATGATTAAGGTTATGTGTCTACTTGGCTGGGCCATGAGGCTCAATGGTCTGGCAGTTATGAAATGTCGTTATCCTCCATCTTGTGACCACATGTGGTCAGCCTCCATTTTCACATTAATGTAAATTTTCGCATGATGACCTGGTCTTTGGAAACTAACCTAACCCTATGGATAAGTGAAGAGTGTGTAAAGTACCAAAGAAGGCAGAAAATCATTTGGCTGTAAATCTAAATTTATTTCCATATAAAAACTCACTACTTAAAATAATTAGCATTTTGACAGAAACTCAAGTGTTATAACTTTACATTAAAAATTCTAATCTTATCCTCAAGGAATAGCAGAGGTGGCTAAATAGCCATCAAACAGAATACCCAATGGAGTTGGCCCCAGTGGACAAGGATATCATTTCCCAGGCTCCCTACATCTAGGTGGGCCTCCCACGTAGTGTGTCCCACAAACAGAATGTGGGTAGAAGTGATGACTATCCCTTCTGCAACCAGACTTTTATTCTTAGTTTGAACTCACTCAGAGAGGCTTTGGAAGACAGACCTAGTGATCTGCTTCCTAAAAGTCACAGCCCTAAAAACACTATAAAGCATTTCTACTCTGTACATCTAGGGTCGCCATCAGTCACGACTGACTCAATGGCAACAACTCCTGCCCTAACTATCATGGATAGCAGACACGGTAAAAATGATTTCATTCTAGTGTTTTATTACAGAATCAATTATTTGATCTTACCTGCTGTTCACTGTATTGTTGGCTGTATTTCTTTATACAGTTTTCCCCACTCAACACTTGGTCATAAGCTGTGACACATTTTAATTTTGTACATTTCCTCTCTGAGGAGAGCAGCTCTCCTTTTTTTTTTCTTTAATTACTATATTGTTTCTTAAATGCCGTTTGGTTCACAGAAAAACTAAGCAGAAAGTATAGAGTTCGCATATACCACTCTCCCACATCCTGCATGACTGTGCTCTATTTGTTACAATCAATGAACAATGATACACAAGTCCCTCGTTTACTTGAGGGTTCACTGTGCTGCATAGTCCCATGGTTTTTGACAAATGTAAAACGCTATGTATTCACCACCTTTTGTGACTAAAATTGAAGGGTGAAATATTTAATATGCTTCTTTTTTATTACTAGTGGACAAAAGCTTCTTTCAAAAGTTAATAGTATTTATATAAAATATCTACAATAGGCAAACGTAGAGACCACAAATTACTAGTAGTCACCTGGAAGGGAGAAAGGGGAAGGGAAATCATTGCTCAGGGTGCACTGAGGTTGTTTGGGGTGATGGAAACAACTGGAAATGGATAATGGGTGATGGTGGCACAGCATGATGAAAGTAATGTCATTCAATTATGTACGTAAATGTTGAAAAACAGCAAATGCTTTGTGATAAATATTTTTAACACACACACACACACACACACCCAAGTTCCTGGGAGAGCAGAGATTTATTATTTCAAATTATGACAGTACCCAACTAAAGAATTAAAAATAAACTATCAAAATAAGAGGGGATGGAGAGAGAGTGGAGAGGTTACCAGAACTAAATCCTATCTTTTATAATTTAAAATTGGTAAATCAAATAAGCTTTTGGAAAACTAAGTTGCTACAAACACTTTGAAAAGCTCTTTGGCAATATGGATACCTTCTAACCCAGTAATTGAATTCCTACGATTTTAAGCAACAGGAGTGTGTACATACATGCACCCAAAGGCCAAGAATGTGAAAAGCAGCACTATTCCTAACAGCCCCCAAATGCAACCAACCCACATTTCTATCAATACTAGAATGGACCATTTATGGACTGTTCATACCATACAGCAATGAGAACAAACTACTGCTAGAGGCAACAACACAGATGAGTCTCAAAGACAATGTTCTGAGCAAGGTTTCAGAAGAAGACAACTGTAGGAAACCATTCCTGTATAAAGTTCAAAAACAGGCAAAGCTGACGGACAATGCCAGAAATCAGGACAGTGGTTACTATTGGGCGTAGGGCCTTCTGAGGTGCTTGGTAATATTCTATTTGGTGATGTGGTTGGAGTAACCCAAGTGTCCACTTCATGGAAATTCATTAAGCTAAATATTTATGGTTTGTATGTTTTTCTGAATACATATTTTATTTCGTAAAAAGTTTATTTTACCAGTTGGAATTTACACATTTTTCAAAGGTTATGAAGGAAGAACCAAAACAGAAATTCTTCTGGGGAAAGAGACTAAGAGATGCGCTGCATTTCAAGATACTTTTAAAATAATAAGTATGTAATACTTTACGGAGCCCTATTTATGCAGCTGGACCTCTGTAGGCGTAGGGCCTAAGGCATTTGACTGCTAACCAGAAGGCTGGTGGTTCAAACCCACCAGCCACTCCTCGGAAAGAAGGCTGAGCAATCTACTTCCATAATGATACCACCTTGGAAACCCAAGGAGGGGTCACTATGAGTCGGATCAAACTCGACGGCAAAGAGTTTGGAGTTTTATTTATGCACTGGTTAAAGTGCTCTGCTGTAGACCAAAAGGTCGGTGGTTCAAACTTATCAGCCACTCCAAAGGAGGCAGTCGGTTTCTATAAAGATTGAAAACCTTGAACACCACCCCCCCAGGGCAGTTTTACCCTGTCTTATAGGGTGGCTATGAGTTGGAATCAATTCAATGGCAGTGGGTATTTAATACTGTGATATCTTAAATAAAAAAAAAAATCAGGTATCAAGGAGAAATGAGTTGTCTACTTAAGCTCTAGTTTGATGCCTGCCATGCTTTAAGCCTAATTCAA